AGGAAATGATTGGGACAGACTGGGCACAGACCTTTGAAAACAAGTCAGCTTCAGCACAGTGGGAGGCCATGGAAGAAAAAATCCTAACAAGTTGCAAGAGGCACATCCCTATGTCATCGGGAAAAAGTAAGAAAAATCGCTCTACTCCGGAATGGATAAATGATAGAATCAAACATCAAATCAAATCAAAAAGTTCAGCTTACACCTTACAAAGGTTATCTGGTACAGAGAGTGACCGTTGTTCCTATGCAAAATTGTGCAACCAAGTTAAATGGGAGTGTCGGAAAGCTAAAAGAGAGCATGAAAGAAAAATTGCAAAGGAAGCCAAAGAGAATCCGAAAGCTTTTTATAACTATGCCAGAAGCAAGCTAAAAGTCAATGCCACAGTCGGAGATCTGAAAAAGGCTAATGGCAGCCTGGCTCAAAATGACAAGGACAAAGCCAATACACTAAATTCCTTCTTTGCTAGTGTGTTCACAAAGGAGGATACCTCATCAATACCAGACTTCCAGGACAGACCATTTAATACTACACTAAATAAATTGGACTTCACATCTAAGGACATCCATAAAAACCTATCGAACTTAGATGCCTCAAAAGCATCAGGACCGGATGGCATCTATCCCAGGATTCTCAAAGAACTGTGTGACGAACTAGATAAACCCTTACTTACTATATTTAAAAAATCGCTTGATGATGGTGTGGTACCATAGCCTTGGAAGGATGGTCATGTAACTCCTATATTCAAAAAAGGTGACCGAAGCAATCCTGGAAACTATAGGCCTGTCAGCCTTACAGCAGTAGTATACAAACTCCTTGAATCCTTGGTGCGTGATGCCGTCATAGAACATCTTGACTCAAACAACCTATTATCAGACCGCCAACACAGCTTCGTCCAGGGCAGATCCTGTTCAACCCAACTCCTGGCCTGCCTTGACATATGGTCTCGTACCCTTGACGAAAGAGGAAGTCTCGATGCCATTTATTTGGATTTCCAGAAAGCATTTGATACTGTACCTCACAAAAGATTACTGAATAAGCTCTATGGGTATGGTATCCGTGGAGACATACTCACCTGTATCTCAGACTTTCTCAAAAACAGGCGACAGAGAGTCTTTGTTAACGGGAAACCATCTGGATGGTGCCCAGTTCTCAGTGGAATTCCACAAGGTAGTGTCCTGGGTCCTGCACTGTTTGTCCTCTATATCAACGACCTACCCGATAATGTGAGCTCCAGGGTCCAGATGTTTGCAGATGATACTAAAGTCTTCAAGGAAATTAAGTGTAAAGAGGATGCAGAAAAACTCCAGTCAGATCTCAGAGAAATACAAAGATGGTCAGAGTGTTGGCAGCTCAAATTCAATGCAGCAAAGTGCAAAGTAATGCACTTAGGTTTTCTGAATAAAAAATATGAGTATAATATGAGTGATAATTCAAACACTATAAACCTATCCGAGACTCAGAATGAAAAGGACCTTGGTGTGAATGTTGACAATACCCTGACATTTAGTGACCATATCCGTCGGGCAAGTAACAAAGCGAATGGTATCCTAGCAATGATCCGCAGATCATACACTTATTTGGACTCTGACGTAGTACGTAGTTTATACATCTCTCTTGTACGGCCACTCCTCGAGTATGGGAATGTCGCTTGGTCCCCCATGTACAAAAAGAATGCTGAGCTCATCGAGAAAATACAGAGAAGGGCAACGAAGCTGGTTCCAGAACTAAAGGACCTACCATATCAAGAACGACTGCAAAGTCTTAAAATCCCGAGTATATATTATAGAAGGGCGAGGGGAGATATGATCGAAGTTTTCAAATATCTCCACAACATCTACAAAACATCATTCCCACTACAACGGGATTATAACACTAGGACTCGTGGACACTGCCTCAAGTTGAAGAAACAGTACTCAAGACTGGCTATCCGCCGCAACTTTTTCAGCCTGCGTGTGGTTGACTTGTGGAATGATCTGCCAGAAAGCGTTGTCACATCCAAGACGGTTAACTGTCTCAAATCCCGCCTCGACCACTACTGGTCAAACATCACCTTCACTTTGGACTATGTGACTGTTGCCAGCATCCATAGTAAATAAAGAATCAGTGATCTACTCATTTATTTATGAGCGACTAAAAGGCCTTAGGCCTATTACAGCCGTATCCTATTGATTGATTGATTGATTGATTGATTGATTGATTGATTGATATGAGGGTGGGACAAGTCCCCCCCACTTTTTCAAATGATTAGTTTAGACCCCCCCACTTTTACCATGTGGAAAGTCCGTGAATCGGTCTATCTACTCGCCGCACTCTGTAGAGCGCTGTGTCAGTGCTTCATATAAAATCCATTCCACTTGCTTATTGAGAGAATACCCAAATCAATGAAACTCCGTACCATGTTTTCACTGCTACTTTGTGCCAAGGCAGATTCTCACATAGCGTGCGCATGTTCAAGGAGTGTTGCCATAGTTCAGTGGTTCTCAAACTTTTTCTGTCAGGCCCCCCCTTTGGAGAAAAAAAAAAAGTCGGGCCCCCCCAACACAAATAGTCAGGCTCAGTGACGGCGCCAGAGGTTTATTTTGGGGTGCTGTGGGGTAGCTTGACGTTTCAGGGTGCTCAAACATTTAGGGTTTCCCATGAATGTACCGGGCGCTACAGTGGAACTACAGTGGAACTACAGTGGAACTTTCTACTTTAAAGCTTTTCATTAAACTTTTGTTTATTTTGTTTGTTTTTATTATGCCTCCTGTAGCACCTTGGGATTGCTGTGAGCAATGAAAGGTGCTTTATAAATTGAATGTATTATTATTATTATTATTATTATTACTGCAACACTCCCCACGCACATACACAATGTCCCCACGACAGTTACAATGAAGGCTCGATAATCAGCTCACGGCATATAGGTGTAAGCAGGGTGAACGTGCTATTTGTATAGGTGGTATTTGGACCTCACATAGGAGGGTCCGGGGGCAAGCTCCCCCGGAAAGATTTATTTTTAAATATTGAAGTTAAAAGCATCAACCTGGTGCACTTTGAGAGCAAAATGAAGAGATCTATGGATACATCTCTCAACACCCATTTGAAACAGAATTGTAAACAGATTGACTTTTTCTTTATGGATATTTTACAAATCATCCTTTTAAACTTTATTCTTGTTTTACTGTCATATAGTATTTCATACCTGTTTTTCATTTATTCTCTTATTTTTTTATAACTATAATGATCATATAAACGTGTGCCTCGGAAATAATTGTTTACATTAATGCTGACCAAAACGTTTGAGACCCACTGAGATAACACTGAGAGAGTCCTTTAGCTCACTGAGTCTCTCAGGACTCTCCTCCACTTTGTTGTTGAAAAAACTCCTTATATCCGTTAGCGTAGCTCGCTAGCACCAGAAGCTAACAACAACGATCTCCGGTACCGGTGCGCTCTCTCTCTCTCGCTCACGCACACACACAAAATGGCTCGTTCCACACACACACAGAGCGGAGCTTTAATGAAACACGGAGACCCAGACGTAATAGTACTGTACTGTATCATATTACTTTCGAATCAATAATTTTTCAAAATATGATTTTTTTTTTTGTAATCTTTTTTTTTTTTTTTTTTTAATAACCATTTTTCCTCCTGGTCTCTCGCGCCCCCCCTGTCATGCCTCTGCGCCCCCCTGGGGGGGCGCGCCCCCCACTTTGAGAACCACTGCCATAGTTGGACAGCTCAGATCTGTTGTATGAAGCGATGCCGGTAGCGGAGGTAAGGCACTCACACACACCAAGTGTTCAGGAAATGGTTAATACAGCGAAAATCAAAGCTGACGATCTCTTGGTTTGAAATGTTTTCTCCCCCAGACAACATGGACATAATAACATTGTTTTCAAAGAAGAGGAAAGTAAGTCTTCAGCTGGTAGCAGTTAATCAGTTAACAGTGATGGCGGCAAAAGCATCTCACTTCTGGAGAGGAGTTTCGTCTTCATGTCATGATAGAGAGATACAAATACTGAATAGTTTAGATGAGAAAAGGCATCGAAATGCAAGGTTACTAGTATTTATCATGTAAACAGGGAACATGAATAACCCGATCTCTCTGTGCTCATGTAAACACCATGATGTCCATGTAGAGACGCAGTCAGTGTGTTTTACTGGAGCCTCAGTTCGATAAGAGATTATTTTCTGAGTTCCTTAACTTAGGTATACTCTCTCTCAAAATGGTAATGTGCATTATGTTTTAATTATACTTCTTATCATTCAGAAGCTTTTTGTGTGTGTTTATGTTTTACTGAGTGCTTATAGGCCATTTCCATCCCAGTATTCAGTTAACTGTTTATTTTCTGTGCACATTACATAGACAGCTAATATTCTACCTACTGCTTGGGACTTTGAGTCTTCAAAACGTCCAATGTCACAGACTGGGACTTACTTAAGAGTCAGTTGTATTTACATTCAGTATGACTTGTTATGATTCAATGTGAAAGAGTATACTGCTCAATCAATAATGATCACTTCACCACCTCTCTTGACATCTAGGCGCTTGAGAGTGAGTCAGAGGCAGAACACAGGGACAGTGGAGAGAGGTCCGTTGCTGAGGTGAGTGATGAAAGGGAAATGACAGTTTAGAGTAAATTGTGATGTGGACTCTCATCCCAGAATGTTAAGGAAATCAGTGGGGATATTGAACAGGAAACATTTCAGTCAAGAGGCATCATATGACCAATATAGACAGAAGAGCAACATTTATTTGAACATTTAAGTCAATGATACCATTCCTAGGTGAACTTAACATCTGTATGGAGTCAGATCAGTGTCAATATTAATAAATGCTCACAGAAGGATACACAAATGTATTTTGCGATGTATATATAAATGACTCTCCACAACAATATCTCTCAATGCATTCACAAATATTTATTGTTGTATATAAATGTACAACAAATTGACATTTAAACTGCTTTTTATTAATTCAAAGACGGCTCTGAATTAATAATCAAATATGTTTCCTTTCTTTACTGGATGAAATTACAAAATGTACCCATCAATTTTCCTCATGCTAGTATAGCCACATAAAAGTATCAAACCACCATCTACTATGTATTTTTTTCGTGGGGGGGGACCCCCACACCCCCCCTTAAAAATGTCCCCCCCACATTCAGGATGCTTCCTACGCCCATGCCTTTAAGTCTGAAACAGCTCCCCTTTTCAGAGCAGAGAAGCTTATTCATGTTTTTCAATTTATGATGAAGGAAAGAACTGAAATATGGAGTTGATTTCAGTAATATGACTGAAGCGGACATGAGATTTATTTAACAGCATTTCCAGTTTGTGAAAGTGCAAAAGGGTTCAGACACTGGACCAAATGCAAAACAGCACAAAGTGGGTTCATCAAGCTACAATCTTTTGATTTTTACTTTAAAAAGGCATTGAAAAGATATGAGGATACATTTTTGGTAAGAAAATGTCAAATGATTTTACTTTGGACTTTGGAAATGCTTGAGTAGATGATGTGCGCCCTCTTGTGGCGATGTAATATTATAGCATATTACTATGTGGTACCGTTCATCTAACTGTGCTTGCTATAAACCACAACAAAAGGAGGGACCCTTCTATGTGCTCCATTCAAATGATTGTATTTCTGTTCTTGTCTGCTTAAGCCTTTGTTCAAAAGAGATGTTTGTAAATATTGCTTTACATCTTTTTTTGTAAATAAAGCCACCAAAAATGTTTATTAAAGCAAAAGATGCATATTAGACCGAGCCCTTGGTTCATTGTTCCTACATAGGTGATAACTGTGTAATTTCTTTTTTTGGGGGGGGGGGAAGATTGGCACGCATTGCAAGATTATGAGAAAATAAAGCATTTCATGATTTTAGAGAAAATGTAAGGCAAGAAAATGAGAAATGCGTTTGTTTTCTTGAACCTGAATCTGGTCCTCTAACCCTTCTCCACCCACGGATCAGTTTTTATTCACATCTCCAGGTTCCACCACTTGAAGTCAAACGGTTCCCTGCGGACGTTGGAGCCGCAGTGCACTTCTCCCAGCTGTTTGTGGTAGGAGGCGAAGTCGTCGATGAAGGTGCAGCTGAGACCCAGGCCCTCCATCAGGGAGCACATCTCCACCTCCAGGGCACAGCGTCCGTTCACCTTGGGGCCAAAGGGCTTCGGAATGCCCAGGTTTTTCCCCAAGACGATCATGTTCACCTGGAAAGAGACAAGATAGATCATAAGACTCACGGTATCGTCTCTTAGATTTATTTCAAACAATCACATACTGTAAAAGCAATATGTCTGCACACACCATGTCGGGGTAGTAAGCCACTGCTCTGAGCTCGGTCTCAGCCTTGTTGTTGTCGTTCTCCTCCATCAATAACTTGAAGAGGATTGGCAGGTCGATGATGTCCTCGTCGTCCAGGCCCAGCTCTCGCTTCAGCACATCTCTGTTCCAGTCAATGCAGCTCTGAGAGAGCAGGCAGTAAAAAATACATCATCCATTACACAAACTATACAACACCCAATTTGTATCTGTAACCTCTTATTAGCGAAGGGTCTCACAAAAAACAGTGCTTTAAGCAAAAGAAAAAATTAATTTTCCTGTACTCAAGATCGAGGGGTTACATATTGTAACCCTAGTTATATAAGCACAGGCGGAGCCCTCTACTGGACTCTATGGGTACTACCCTCAATCATGCCAATGCGAGCATTCACCTACTGAGATATCTATAAACGTAGCCCGCATAAGCTCACCGTATATAAAGCGGCCACGCCTCCTGAGTCCTGACTGTCATCCTACACCCTCTTCAGCGAGTGGCATAGGACAGACATGGCCCCAAGTAGAGGGCTCTGCCTGTGCTTATATAACTAGGGTTACAATACGTAACCCCTCGTTATATCTTACACAGGCTCCGCCCTCTACTGGACTCTATGGGTACAGTGGGCGGAGCCCTGATGCATAAACGCCCTGTTGTCCAACAACATCGACCCATCACACTGCCCCTGACCGGCTTTTGGTTAACAGCCACTGCACCGCAACTACTTCTCCCTCGGTTATGACCGTGGAGAAGTCGGGGCCGCAGCTACTTGGCTGGTAGTGCAAATTCAGACAAGCTTACCTCGTGAAGAGTGTACATGGAAAATAGTGAGGAAGGCTCTCCCAGCCCTGCATGGGGCTTACCGTGCACCATGTTTCCCAGGTCCCTAAGGAGGATGGGCAGAACGTAAGTGCGCCATGTCCCCCACACTCAGACACGCTTACCTTGTGAAGAGTGTGCATGGAAAATAGTGAGGAAGGCTCTCCCAGCCCTGCATGGGGCTTACCGTGCACCATGTTTCCCGGGTCCCTAAGAACGTTAGTTTAGCTGCTAGAGGCTTGGACTGTTGGGGGGGGGCCTTACTTCGTCCTTCTGTCTGTTTGTACCTGTGTACTCTCACGTTCCGATTAACCCAGCTTCCCCTAAATCTCTTTTTTTGTGTCTATATATACGCCGGGATCCTGAGTCAAGGCTAATCCTGTTGCTGTGGTCGTGTGTTCTGGATCCTCTATCCTGAGTACTGGATCTGAGTCCTGGACTTCGAGTCGTGGCTGAACCAGTCTCTGCGGTCCTGCCTGACTCTCATCATACTACTTCCCTGATGGCTCCCACAGGATTGCTGACATGCTCGTGGACTCATCTTCTTATTATAGACACATGCATTTCCAAACATTTGGTCTTTCCAAACATTTGGTCTACCTACGCTGTAAAATGTACTATCTCTTCGATTTACACACGGCATCTATTAGACCCTCCAGAAAAACGCGGGCAAAAATCCTTGATTATACGATTAAACATGCAGGGTTTTATGTGATTTTATGCGGTGAAATTGCGAAATATGCGGAAAGTTGCGAAATATGCGGAAAAAATAAATTGTGGGCTGTCTTATTTATTTATTCTCTCTCACACACAACCTGCCACTAACGTTAAACCCCTTTACCATTCAATTAAACACATTCAATGTTTATTTATTGTAAAATAAATTGGGCTATTTTAATCACACACACACACACACACACACACACACACACACACACACACACACACACACACACACACACACACACACACACACACACACACACACACACACACACACACACACACTTCTCCGCCTCATTCTGTTTTCATTTACTCGTTCGTTATCTGACCAGCTTCAATCTTGTAGGCTACTCACTTTGTTTCTTGTAGCCTTCGAAAGGGTTTTGGAGGTTGATGCTTCGGTGAACGTGAGTTGTTTGGCTTTCTTGTCCGCAGCAGCAGAAAGCATTTTCGAATGTTTGAATGAATCAAAGTGGGTCGTCACCGTGGATGTTCTCTTATCAGGGTTGCCAACTCTCACGCATCTGGCGTGTGCCACACGCTTTCACTCTCAATCTCACGCTCTCACACTGCCCAAACTATTCTCACGCCAAAAACAAGAATACCGAAGACTAGAAACGGTTTTGAAAACTTTGGTCAGGTAGTGATCGTCTTCTCAATAGAACATCTTTGATAATGTCTTCTGGCCAATCAGAATCAAGATAACGGCGTGGTGTTGTTCCAGGAAGTCCCGACGGAGAATACTTTTGCTGTCGTACATCTCTATATACATCGATACAACATTACGTGTTGATAGAAATCAACACGTAATGAAATAAGACCCCACGGTTTGATGATTGATAGGTGCAGGGACGTGCACAGGTACGGGCTAATGTTGCCAGGGCAACGGCCCGTTTGGCCTTTTTGGCTGACCTGCCCCTCTGGAGAGAGCGAGAGTTTATTTTTATATATATAAATATATAGGCCTACACTGTGGCCCTAAAGCAACTGCTCCATTATCTGTATCAAATGCAGACATTGATGCCACCAAATGTCAAAATAAAAATAGAAAGTACTACAAATAAACTGGAATTCATTTACATCTTAAATTATGAATATATATACACAAAAAAAGGTTTACAAATATCCAACCTTCAAATTGCTCTTTTAAATCAACACTGCTCTGCACACTTGCTAAAGAACATTTGTCTGGAAATCTCAATTCATTTGTAGGGCTGCGTGAGTATGGCCAAAAGTATGGGAGTAAATCTCACTGTAAACTATTTAATCATCACCAAATTCTGTGTTATTATGACCGATCATAACTCAGCTTTATGCAGACATATTTAGCGCGGTGTACAGGGCCGCTTCTTGGCATAGGCGACATAGGCGGTCGCCTACGGCGCCAGATCTGGGGGGGGGGGGGCGCTGCGCTGGCAGCTCTGGGAGGGAAAAAAACATTTTGACTGTTTGCGCTCATCCTAATTTTCGGCCTTGATGTAACAGCATTCATAATTAAGTCAAGGTAACACCCTTTTCACCCCGGGTTACACTTTTCATTTGCCCTGTACGATGGGCGCTTTAAGTGATGAAAGTGGGGGGTGTTGGCTTATCAGGCGTCCGCAGCTCACAGCCAAAGTGGGTGTGGGATCGAGCGAGAGAGATAAATGCAATTTATGTAAACAAATATTTCCAAGGCACTCTTTTATAATTATTGGGGTAAATAGGTTTGAAATCATTTCAATGTATACTATATATAGGACAGAAAACCAAAAATATCGTTTAAAACTTGAGAGATACAAAAATATGCATAAATAAACGTTAACTAGGTAAAATAAGATATGAATGCACAACAAAAATAACATAAGTTGCATTTATTTGCTATTGGCTATGGTAGGTTATTGGTTATGTTCACATACTTATTTGATTATTAAAATGTAAACCAATCTTTTTCATATGGGTGTTTAGAGTTGTACCCCCTAGGTCAGGTCTCTAGTAATGTGTGCTCAAAGTGCACCAGATTGAAGCATTTTACTTTAAATGTTCAAACATTTCTTCCTGGGGGGGCATACCCCCGGTCCCCCCTAGAGGATGTGACGTCCACACCCCAATTCAAACATATACCGAATACATTTGAACTGAAGCCTTTTTGATGTTTATTACCAACATGTCAATACGTTTCTGTTTTTGTAGTATATTGGTCTTTTGTAGAGATTTTTCATGTATTCTTTATATATTCTATTGTGTATTCCTTGGGTACTTTTATCTTTTCTATTGTACGATTGAAGTAAATGTGGGAAGCGTTTAACAACAGCCATTTACTTCAAAGATTGTTCTCAATGTTATTCTTATTTTTGTTAATCCTGGAAGAATGCCAGAAAAAAAGACATTCTCTTCAAGAATAAAAAAAAACATGACATTAGTAATTGTGAAAACAAATTAAATAAGTTGTTAGGTTAAGTCAGGGCCGTTTTTTGGCATAGGCGACATAGGTGGTCGCCTAGGGCGCCAGATCTGGGGGGGGGGGGGGGGCGCTGCGCTGGCAGCTCTGGGAGGGAAAAAAACATTTTGACTGTTTGCGCTCATCCTAATTTTCGGCCTTGATGTAACAGCATTCATAATTAAGTCAAGGTAACACCCTTTTCACCCCGGGTTACACTTTTCATTTGCCCTGTACGATGGGCGCTGTAATTGATGAAAGTGGGGGGTGTTGGCGTATCAGGCGTCTGCAGCTCACAGCCAAAGTGGGTGTGGGATCGAGCGAGAGAGATAAATGCAATTTATGTAAACAAATATTTCCAAGGCACTCTTTTATAATTATTGGGATAAACAGGTTTGAAATCATTTCAATGTATACTATAGGACAGTAAACCAAAAATATCGTTTAAAACTTGAGAGATACAAAAATATGCATAAATAAATGTTAACTAGGTAAAATAAGATATGAATGAACAACAAAAATAAAATAAGTTGCATTTATTTGCTATTGGCTATGGTAGGTTATTGGTTATGTTCACATACTTATTTGATTGTTAAAATGTAAACCAATCTTTTTCATATGGGTGTTTAGAGTTGTACCCCTAGGTCAGGTCTCTAGTAATGTGTGCTCAAAGTGCACCAGATTGAAGCATTTTACTTTAAATGTTCAAACATTTCTTCCTGGGGGGGCATACCCCCGGTCCCCCCTAGAGGATGTGACGTCAACACCCCAATTCAAACATGTTCATACAATACCGAATACATTTGAAGCCTTTTTGATGTATATTACCAACATGTCAATACGTTTCTGTTTTTGTAGTATATTGGTCTTTTGTAGAGATTTTTCATTTATTCTTTATATATTCTATTGTCTATTCCTTGGGTACTTTTAGCTTTTCTATTGTACGATTGAAGTAAATGTGGGAAGCGTTTAACAACAGCCATTTACTTCAAAGATAGTTCGCAATGTTATTCTTGTTTTTGTTAATCCTGGAAGAATGCCAGAAAAAAAGACATTCTCTTCAAGAATAAAAAAAAAACATGACATTAGTCATTGTGAAAACAAATTAAATAAGTTGTTAGGTTAAGTCAGGGCCGGCTTTTGACATAGGCGACATAGGTGGTCGCCTAGGGCGCCAGATCTGGGGGG